TGATTGGCCATGGTGGTTTCGTAGAAGGTCGTTTTCCGATTCCATTCTTTTTTTCGGTGTCTGAAAAAGTTGAGTTTTTGGAGGAACGGCTGGAATATCCCATTACAATTGTGTGGGTTTGCTTTTCTACATTGCTGTCTGAGATTCTGTATCTTTCGCCATTGGATGAAATGTCCAAATCAATTCGTTTTTGTTTTGATTTTTTTTTTTTTTTTTGGTTCTTCTGAAGATAATTTATTGTCTGAATCAACTGTGAATTCTTCTTTTTTTTTGCCTATTTGATTTTTTTTTTTTTTTTTCCTTTCTGCGGCCTGTCGATTTTCGAATGCTCTGTTTGGTTTCCGTGAAAATAAGTGTTTCGAATACGGGTTCATTTGATAAGTATTCCAATGTCAAGGAATGAATGAGTGGGCATAACGTTATGATTGGATTTTCAGTTGAATCATTGAAAACATGGATGTTATATTCATCTGCTTGATTTGTTTTCTGCTTAATCCTCAGTTTTCAAAGAAACCCAACAGCGCACATGTTGTATTTTCACTGCCATACCTATTTAGTCTGTGCAGTATTAGTTGTAGCGATTCGATATATTTCTGTCTTAACGCTCTAGATGTTTAATTGTGAAGCTTTCCTTATGCCTTGGCTAATTCTGGTTCACAATCTTTCCTAACAATGCAGGTGTTTAAAGTTGCCTCATAGTCTTTCAAGTGAGTTTGAATCATGGATATTACTGAGGTTGAAGAAAGCTTATTCGCGGCCAGCGATGCCAAGGTATGAATGAGATATTGGGACCAATCTATGCAATTATGTTTGCTAACGAACTAGAATGTGTTTATATGCATTTTCAAGTGTCGTGCATGCTTATTTTATCACTGTCACCATGGGTCCTCTGAATATCACCTTTTGATTTGTCTTACGGTTTTATCATCGTAGATCATTGGTTGACTCTCTTTGTTTTCTTCTGCAGTTGCATGGAGAGCTGTGCAAGGCACTCTCTGCAATTTATTGCAAAATAACGTCGATATTTCCTTCTTTGGAAGCAGCTCGACCTAGGAGCAAGTCTGGTATCCAAGCTTTATGTTCGTTGCATGTGGCACTTGAAAAGGCTAAGAATGTTCTTCAGCATTGCTCAGAATGTAGTAAACTTTACTTGGTAGGTATTCCCTCAATATTGCATTTGTAATTTATACAGTTATCGCTACTCCAACTTTTCGAGTAAACAATTGTTTCCCCGCTTCTACTGTGGAGGAATAGATTTCTCTTTTGGTGTTTAAATTTGTTTCATGCATGATGAGGTTGTGTATAAATTGTGTTGTGTGTATAATGGCCTAATTATTTTTATCATTCAGGCTATAACTGGGGATTCTGTGCTCTCAAAGTTTGAGAAGGCTAGATGTGCTCTTATGGATAGTCTTAGGCGTGTTGAAGACATTGTTCCACAATCCATTGGTTGTCAGGTAATTATTCTTTAAGGCCCCTTTGCAGTTTCTTTTCCTGGTTGGTGGTAATTGCATTTGAAGTTTTTGAATTAACTTGTGATGCTAGCATTCCGTGGTCATGATGCTTTGTGTACATCACTTAGATGTGTTCTAAACATAGTATATTGTTGATCTTGTTTCAGATTGAAGAGATTGTTAGTGAACTTGAGGGTACTGTGCTCTCACTTGATCCCTTAGAGAAGAAAGTTGGCGATGAAATAATTGCACTACTCCAGCAAGGGAAAAAGTTCGACAATTGTAATGACAATAATGAGCTGGAATCTTTTCATCAGGCTGCTATCAAACTTGGTATTACCTCTTCCAGGGCAGCTCTTACTGAGAGAAGAGCTTTAAAGAAAGTCATCCAAAGAGCCCGTGCTGAGGAAGATAAGCGGAAAGAGTCAATTGTGGCTTATTTATTACATCTTATGCGAAAATACTCCAAGCTGTTTAGAAGTGAAATCTCAGATGACAATGATTCACAAGGTTCTGCTCCTTGTTCTCCCACTATTCAGGGTTCCATTGAGGATGCTGGGCCCGGTGGCAATGTTCAGGCATTTGATCGACAACTGTCAAAACTTAGTTCTTTTAATTTCAAAAGTTCTTTTAATTCCAAGCCATACAATCGGAAATCAGGTCAGATGCCTCTTCCACCTGAAGAATTGAGGTGTCCGATATCTTTGCAGCTTATGTATGATCCGGTCATCATCGCTTCTGGTCAGACATATGAAAGGATTTGCATTGAGAAATGGTTCGGTGATGGGCACAATACCTGCCCAAAGACTCAACAGAAGCTGTCTCATCTTTTTTTAACCCCCAATTATTGTGTCAAAGGTCTCATTGCTAGTTGGTGTGAACAGAATGGAATTTGTGTTCCTGATGGTCCCCCAGAGTCTCTTGACCTCAACTATTGGAGGCTTGCATTTGAGTCTGAGTCCACTGATTCAAAATCTATGGGTAATGTTGGCTCTTGCAAGGTGAAGGGTGTCAAGGTGGTTCCTTTAGAGGAGAGCCATACTATAAAGGAGGACGTTGGAAATGAAACAGAAGATGTGTCTCCATTAGAGGAAGAGTCTGAGCTTGATGTTTTCGAAAGTTATCAGGATCTTTTAACCACCTTGAATGAAGAGGAAGACTTCAGGAAGAGGTGCGAGGTAGTGGAGCAAATAAGGCTCTTGCTGAAAGAGGATGAGGAGGCCAGGATGTATATGGGTGCTAATGGATTTGTTGAAGCACTTCTACATTTTCTGAGCTCAGCTTTGCGTGAAGCGGGTTGTTTGGCTCAGGAAAGTGGAGCCATGGCTCTCTTCAATCTTGCTGTCAACAATAACAGGTATAGTTGTTTAATAATTTTGAAAGAATCGAATGCAATAACTAGTTTTATGACAATATTTTGATTCGTTTTGTACTGAAAACTTCAGAGGTCTATTAAGCATCAAAATGCGGTGTCTTCAATAATAAAAAAAGCATCCGGGATAGGGTGAAGTGTATAAATAATTGTCTACGATGTGTTGATATTTCCTTGCGTCATGGGTGTAGAGAATGATGCATTGGCTTTCATGATTTGTTTTTAATTATTAGATGTTGATTCTCCGTTTATCACTTGGAATGTGTTGAATGGTCTGTATCTATGCTGTGCAGCATTTTGAGTAACATGTCAGAATTTTTGGTTCTGTTCTATGCTTCTCTAAACCTTGGATACTTGAGAATAGTTTTAATTTCGTTGATTTTTTTTTTCCAGAAACAAGGAAGCAATGTTAGCATCGGGGGTAATTTCATTGCTGGAGGAAATGATCTCTAATCCCAATTGTCATGGACCTGCAACAGCGCTCTATTTGAATCTCTCGTGCCTCGAAGAAGCCAAGCCTATAATTGGAACAAGCTCTGCTGTCCCTTTCTTGACCCAGCTCCTTCAAGCGAATGTTGAAACCCAATGCAAGCTTGATGCCCTCCATGCTCTGTACAATCTATCGAGTGTCCCGTCAAATATTCCTAAACTTATGTCAGCTGGTATTATCAGTGGTCTCCAATCCCTTCTTGCGGGCTCTGGCGATCAGATGTGGACAGAAAAATGTGTAGCTGTATTGATAAATTTGGGTTCAAGTAGTTCTGCCAGAGATGAAATGATGTCGAATTCGAGACTTGTAAGTGCACTAGCAACAATTTTGGAGGCCGATCAACCCATTGAGCAGGAGCAAGCTGTCTCATGTCTCTATATGTTGTGTAACGGGAGCGAGAAATGTAGTCAGATGGTCCTCAAGGAAGGAGTGATACCGGCGTTGGTGTCTATTTCCGTTAATGGCACATCAACAGGAAAAGAGAAGGCTCAAAAGCTGTTAATGCTGTTCCGTGAGCAGAGACAGAGAGACCAACCACCTCCTGAGGCGGAGGTGCATCTGTCTGTTGAAAATAGTGACAACCCCATGAGTGCACCGGAACCAAAGCCGCTATGCAAATCCTTCTCAAGAAGAAAGATGAGCAAACCATTTAGGTTTTTATGGAAGAGCAAAAGCTATTCTGTTTACCAGTGTTAGCTCCCATGGTGCTGTAAATTTCAGTGTTGCATCATCTTTTTTTTCTTTTCTATTTTCTCACTTTTTGTTTCTTTTCAAATAGCGGAATGTACAGCCCCCTGTAATTTATGGATTTTGGTTTCGCATTTACCTTTGAGGTAGGAAATATATATATGTATTATAATTGCTTTTATTTTTATTTTTAATTTTTTATTACTTTTTAATTAATTTTTTTTAATTTTTTTTAACATGCGATATTATTTACACTAAAAGGGAGAGGGTGAGCTTAGCGTCACAATGAGTTAGTAATAATGTGGTTCAAATCTGCTTTTGGCAAGAATCAAACATAAGACCTCTGATTTACAAGTGAAAAGGAACATTATTAGACTGTAGTACTAAGCAACTATATCTTCAATTTTTTTGGTTATGGTGTATACAATTGGATCATAGGGACTTAGCAAACTAGGGATTTTCACGTGTGTTTGTCAATGCATGGGCCATAGCCAGAGACCCTAGCATTTGGGACAGTCCTAACTCATTTGAGCCGGAGATGTTCTTGGGGTCGGAAATTGATGCTTTAGGCCGGAATTTTGAGCGTATTCCTTTTGGTGGTGGGGGGAGAATATTCGTGGTTTCTATTGGCAATGCAGTTGTTACACTTGATTTTGCGGTCACCTATTAACTCATTTGATTAGAAGTTCGGGCTCACCTTACAGATGGTTTAGCCTCTAAAAGTCGTTGCCAACTGATTGGAGATTTTGTAGTTTCTATAATTAATCAACATTTTGTTAAAGTGTATTAAAATGAGATTTTGTAGTTTCTATAACTGATTGGAGATTGATATTATGGAAACATTGTATTAAAATGAGATGTTTTGTATATGTAGTGGGATAACATGTCCCACATTTTTTTGGTTTTTTTGGTGAACTAATATGTCCCACATTGGAGAAGAGTAAGAGGAGCAGGTTGAAGTGAGGATATATAATTGAGAGGTGTGGGATAATGGAACATGTATACTTGGATGGGGTCTATGGGCGATTAGAAAAGCCCAGGTCCTAGGTTGGTGACCTCCATTGCATTTTGGGAGGGGTGCTCGCCTAAGGTCAGCCCCTGTGGCAGAACCTACGTCATAATTTGTTCCCGTGAGGGCCTACGTGCGCGCGGCCCTTGTCCAAATAATAATTAACGAATTTTGAAAATAAATAAGTAAATAATAATTTGAAAATTTCATTTATTTCCTGACTGTCTTCATACCATCAAGATTAAGTTCTGCACCAAACGTTTAAACCCAACGAAAACAATTCGAGTACTGCACCAATTTTTTAAAATGTAACGATATATGTAAATCGAATGTGAGATGTCAAACAGATTGAGTGGTGCACCAAATGTTTAAACCAATGAAATATGCAAATTGATTGAATATCCTAATGATGTTAATGTGAGAAACATTCCAAATGTTTAACCCAACAAAAGATTTAAATTGACCGAATACCCTAATAATGTTAAAGCATTGGATTGTAATGTGAGAAAATTGACAATCCAATGCGAGAAAATTGACATATCTTTAGTTCTTCTCGTCTCATTTGTTTTTCTTTAATAGAAAAGAAGTCATTATTTTTTTGGTACGGATAGAAGTCTCTCTCACTTTAAAATTAAAATAAGGGTAGATCGAAGTTGGAATTTTAATTTTTGTGTCTATAAAAAAGTATTTTGCTAGTCTTTACCTATATAAGTGAAATAGTGGTTAGTGGATGTGCAACGAAGATAAGAATTAGAAGTAAACTGAACTCCTAAACCTCGTTTAATCTGCTTTTACCTTCCCTTTTTCACTTGAATGAAGAACAAACTATTTCGTTCATATAGGATCTCTTGAGGATTTAAGAAGTTGAGAATGAATTTCATATGATAGGAGTAGGGCTGGAAAAAAATCCCAAAAATCCCAAACCAAACCGAAAAAATCCCGATCCCAAACCAAAAAAATCCCAAACCAAAATTCCTGAAATTTTCGGTATGTAATCCCGAACCAAACCGAAATTTTCGGTATGGGATTCGGTATTCCATCTCCATTTTTTTGGTATTCCCATACCGAATTGAAATAAATATGATTAATCTTTTGTTTGTTTCTATATTCCAGTTGTCTCAACTAATGTGATTAATCTTTGGATATTAGTTTAAGTTCATCAGAAAAGTTTGATTATATATATCAGTATACATATATTATACTAGTACCTTAATATTGTGCATGCATATTGTTAATTGATAAACTAGTACATTAATAAAACTAATTAATATAACTGATGTGGTGTAATTCACTATAGGGAGGTTAATAAAGGGTATACTGATAGTTATAATTGATGCACCTTAATATTTGATGTAGTTTAAGTTCTAACTAGTACTAATAGTTAGTGATATGAAAAGTTTGTATTTGAATTATTCATTATTTATTAGTTGTAAACAATTTAATTTCCTCTTTTATTTTCTTAGTATTTATTATCTATTAGATTATAATTCAATGTAAATGATTTGTGGTTTATTGTTTTAGACACGGCTAATTTGGGAGGTGAGGAGAATACAACACAATTTTGGCTCATAACTAATTTTTTTGATTTTGGGTTTGTTACTTTATTTATAAACCTTGGCTTGTAACTACTATTTTTGCTTTTGAGTTTGTTACTTTATTTATTACTTTATAATATGTCAAATTTTAGCCCAAAAACATAATATGTCAAATTTTAGTCCAAAAGCCCAAAAGCATTTTGGGATTCCCGATTTGTCCCGAAATCCCGAAATTATTTCGGGATTCCCGAAAATTGGGATTCCCAAAAATTTGGTTTGGGATTGGGATTGAATTTTGGATTCCCAAAAATTTCGGTTTGGGAATCGGGACAATGGTTTCGGTATGGGATCCCATACCGAACCACCCCTAGATAGGAGGAGGGATTTTGCATGGAGTTACTAATAAGTTAGGCTACTTTCTATATTGCTAATTGTTTTTATGGTGAAACTTCAACCTTCTTCATGGTATCATAGCAGGTTGTGTCACGTGTGAAAGCCTATGGCCACATGTGTTTCACGTCATCTCGTTGTTTCGTCCAAGTGTTAGGCTTGAAAAGTCGCTACACGTAAGGAACGTGTTGAGAATAAATCCTACATTAATAGGAGGAGAAACCTTGTACGAGTTTATAAGTAAGTTGGATTACTTCTCATGTATTATTATTGAATTCACAGCGGAATCTCAACTTTCTTTAATCGGGATAAGCAATCTTAAGAGCACTTCTGACTCTCACTAATCTTAAGAGCACTTTCTTTAATCGGGATGAAATCCAAATCCTCTATTATTCACTTTGAAGAAGATCATCAAATACCAAAAGGCTTCCACCTGGACCAAACGGATCAGGATCCTCTCATGATCCTTGTATGGGGATCCTCATGACCAAGAAGTGTGGGCCGTTGGATGAAAATCCAACGGCCACAAACAGGGAGGTCCCTTTAAAGTTATAATAATTATAGCCATTGGATTTTCATCCAATGGCATTCAACGGCCACAAACAGGGGGGTTCCTTTAAAATTATAATAATTATAGCCGTTGGATTTTCATCCAACGGCCTATACTTTTTGATCATGAGGATCCTCATCCTTAGATTAGGAGTGGATCCTGATCCGGACCAAACCGACTTTCCTTCATCGGCAATCTCGAGAGCTTGGCAAAAACCCATCTCACTCTCACTATAAGCTTTCACAACGCTATGGCCCCATTAAGTTTTGGCAACTCGGCCGAATAACAACCGTGGTAATTTCTTTGTCAACCGTCGCCAAAGATGTCCTCCGAACCCTGACCAACTCTTTTGCAACCGCAGCGCGGCCCTTGGAGAAATAATAATTCAAAAGTTTTACTTTCTGTTTAGTTTTTTGAATACAAATTTGAAAATTTTGACAAGATAATAATAATAATTCCAAAATTTCTAAGGGCCCTCTTATTATCCTATTCAAAGCTTTTTTTTGTTATCATTTTCAAAATATTATTTAAAACTATTTCTTAAGTTCATTTTTGAGTTCATTTTTTTAAAATTATTGTACCAAACAAGAATTTTTGATTTCAGATTTAAAAATGTTTTTGAGTTAAAAAATTAGATTCAAATTGCATACCAAACATGCCCTAAGTTTTTTCATACTCTTAAGATTGACAGATTAATTTCTGCACCAAATGTTAAACTTAAGGACAACAATTTGAGATCCGCACCAATTTCCTAACCCTAACGATAGATGTAAATTGATCGAATGTCATGTCAAATAGATTGAGTGCTGCACCGAATGTTTAACCCAACGAAAGATGTAAATTAATTGAATGATGTAATAATGTCAAAATATTGAATTACAGTGTGAGAAAATTAAAATATCTTTCTTCTTGTCTCGTTTGAGTTTCTTTTTAACACTTGTTCTTTTTTTGTAAGACATTTCATTTGTTCTTTAAGGACATAAAAGTATGACTTCTTCGGGCCTATACAAAAAATATAGAAGTCTCTATTTTTGTTATATTTTTTACAAATAGAAGTCTCTAATTTCACAGTAAAAATAATTTTTTTTTTTGCTTGGACACTAAAAATAAAGTGAAAGAGGTCAAAGTTGGAATTTACCTTCTATTTTTGTCATAAAAGAGTATCTTGCTAGTTTCACCACCATGGCAAAAAGAGATATTTTTTGGATTTCTTCCTTCTAATTCATCAAGTTCGAGGATTCGAACCATTAAAATTTGATTCAACAGTTACAAATAAGAGCTCACTTTAAAAGTTATAATAATTTTAATTGTTAGATCAAATTTCACCGATTCGGATCTTCGGACTTGATAAATTAAGAGGAAGAGATCTAGAGAGAATTCATTTCCCTTCTCTGCAATTGTTTTTGTCACTTTTGTCCCCGTGTATGTCCTTTATCATGTGTCCACAATGATTGATGGAAACAACACATTATTTTGTTTGTATTATGAATGTGTCTTTCGATGGATTTTGTAGTAAGATTCATAGCTTCAAAGTTGGTGCACTTAGTGTGAAGCGTAATGGCCATCAGCGACATATGTTATTTCACATGTGATGAGAGTTATTAAGAATGAATTTACATTGATAAGAGATTTTGCATGAGTTTATAAGTAAATCAGGCTACTTCTGTATATATATTTTCAAATGATTTTATAAGTAAATTAGAGCAGTTGCAGAATCTTTTTTATTATTTAAACAAATGATATTATTTACACACTAAGGGAGGGAGGTGAGTTTAACCTCACAATAGACTAACAACAGTGTGGTTCAAATTCGTCTTTTGCGAGAATTGAACCTAAGACTTTTCACTTACAAATGAAGAGGAATACCATGAAACTATAGTACTAATGACGTGTTTACTAATCCGTAATCAAATTGAGAGGAATTGAATTGAGGAGGAATAGAAATGAGGTGAAATCAGAATCAAATTCTTTTTGAAGTTGTTTACTAAAACTATCTAGAATCGGATTAGGAATGACATTAATGTATATAACTGTTTACTAATTCACATGAATCGGAATGAAAACTACTATGATTACTAAAATACCCCTAGTTTAATTAATCTATTTTATATACTAATTATTATTATTTTTTTTTAGAAAAGAGAACCATTTTTATTTTTTATTTTTTTTGGTAAAACTTTTATTATTTTATTTTTGGATATTTTTAGTGGAATTCTCGTGCTTTTAACTTAGAACACACTGTCCTGTGTCTTCATCCAAATTGGCATTATCTAGAACCCGCAACCCCGAGAGTTCACCTCCTACCGCTTCTTCTTCGGAGAGATCACCTCCTACCGCGGAATTCTCGTGCTCATAGCCTCATCCTGGCGGAGAGATCACCGTCTACCGTTTCTTCTTCAATGACGTGCGGGCGTCGAAGCCTGTGCCTCAGCGTGGGACTCCGCAACCCCAAGCTCCAATTCGGGTCTTTCTCACCTGAACCCGCTCCTCTCCCTCGGCCTCTCTGGTACCACTCTCTTCTCCGTCACTTCCGTTTCCTTTTGTTGCTGAATTTTCTGTTATTATCAATGGTGGCAATTGGGTTCGGATTTTCTGAAGATTTGATTTTTGCTTTGGGTATGCTTGTCATTTTTGGGTTGATTTTGCTGTGCCGAATCCTATGGAGGAGGACATGGAGAATTTTGAGGTGGTGGAGCGAGAAGAGGCGGCGGAGCAGTAGAGAGCTGGTAGAGAAGATGACGGAGGACAACGAGAAGATGGAAAGGAGTACTGAAGGTGCAGGGCATTTTGGGAAGGAAAATTTGATTCCATATGGAGCCTTCTCCTTGGAATCCAAATACTACCTTCTTCTAGGTAATCCAATTCCGACAATATCAAGAGATGAATTCCTAGTTTTATGTGGGGCCTGCAGAACTGTTTATTCCGCTTAAGTTGGTAAACAGAGGAATAATTAGGAATGGGGAATGATTCCCATTCTGCCATATCCTTTCCCCATATGTAAACACGCCATAAGAGCTGTTCCAGCGTGTGAAACCTCCCCCCAGGCAATACACTATGCTATCCACCCAGTGAACAGTAACTGCCCTTAATGAACAGTAATCACCTTTTGCATCTCCACCGTTGCACTTCAATAGCCTTGGCAATAGGTAATAAAATATTAGTATTTTTTTATTTATAAAATAATACAAAATAATTTTAATTGTAATTTCGGATAAAATTTTTAATCGTTCTCGTTGCGCCATGTGTCATTATCTGAAAAGTTATTAAATAATACAAAATAATTTTATTTGTAATTTCGGATAAGATTTTTAATCGTTCTCGTTGCGTCACTTGTCATAAAATCTGAAAAGACAATTATTGGTGATGGATTTCCGATAAGATTTTTAATCGTACTCGTTGCGCCACGTGTCATTATCTGATAATACAATTATTGGTGATGAATTTCTAATAAGATTGTTAACCAATCACGTCGCGCCACGTGTCATAATTTTTTTACAATATTTGAGGATAGATTTCCATCAGATTTTTAACGAATGACGGCATGCCACGTGACATTATCTACAACCTAATCCTTTCTGAATCCTCCATATAATCCACCATGCATCCTCACAAATCTCACACCAATTTTCTCAAGATCTCTATAATTATTCATAGTTTATGCTTCCTTTTTCACCAAAATCTCTATCATTATTCATAGTTTTTGCTTCTTTCTTACAATGTCTTCTTCTTCCTCTAGGATGATGTGGGAACTCGATCAGCAAGAGGAAGAATTGTTTAAGCAATTAGAAGGAATGTTCAATCTCCAGGTGGCAAAAAATGAGAGGAAAGAGGATGAGGAGCGTAGAAGGAGAGATGATGAAGCAAGAATGGGCAGAGCTTCACATTCCCGTCGAGTCATCCAAGCTGTGGCTCAGATCTACAGGCCCAGCCGTTTCGAAAACCTTGATAGAAGTAGGAAACGACGAGGCACGGAATTCTTGGACGATTATTTTGTCCGCAATAGTACATTCCCTGATATATACTTTAGATGTTGTTTTAGAATAGAACGATATTTGTTCAACAAAATCATGATTGCTGTTTGCAACCATGATTCTTATTTTGTGCAAAAGAATGATGCTTTTGGTGCTATGGGTCTCCTTCCAGAGCAAAAAATTATTGCTGCCTTGCAGATGCTTGCATATGGAACATCTGCAAACCAAGTGGTTGAGATAACGAGGATGGGGAAATCAACCATTCTTGAGTCCCTGATGAGGTTTTGCAGAGCAATTGAATCTATCTACACCACAGAGTACCTCCGGACACTTACAGACATGGACTTGCAAAGGCTTCTGAAGAAGGCCGAGATGCGAGGTTTTCCTAGGATGATTGAAAACATCGATTGTATGCACTGGACATGGAAAAATTGTCTAAGTGCATGGGAAGGCGCTTATGGGACAGAAAATGAGCAAAAAGTATCATTTTGGAGGTGGTGGCATCTTTTGATACATGGATTTGGCATGCCTTTTTCGAGGTTCCGAGAGCTCAAAATAACTTCAATGTCCTTGCCCAATCCCCAGTGTTCAATGATGTCTTGCAAGGAAAGGGACCAAAAGTCCCATACTGCGTCAACGGACGTATGTACGATGGGCCATACTACTTAGCTGATGATATTTACCCAAGATGGTCAACATTTGTCAAAATAGTGCCACGTCCGCGAAGTGCAAAGGAAAACACTTTGCAAGCTGTCAAGAGGCGTGCAAGAAGGATGTGGAGCATTGTTTTGGTATCCTCCAAGCTCGCTGGGCGATCATCAGGGGTGCTGCCAAATTGTTTGATGTAGAGTCGCTTTGATCGATCATGATGACGTGCATCATTCTTCACAACATGATTATGGAAGATGAGTACGATTATGATGCCGTTGATGAATATGAGCCAGACACGATGAACAATTCAAGAACACGTATACATTGCACTCAGATCGAACGGTTGATATTAAATCAGAATTTTTTTTCATATTACCGTTGCAAATCGGACGACCCATTTTAAGGAGCCGTTGAGATTGAACGGACCGTGGGAAGCCATGTGGCTTCCCAACAGTAACTGAGGCAGATTGCATCGCGGGCCCCTAGGGTCTGAAATTTATCGGCTGACGAGCCCCCATGAGCAGGTGAGGCGCACGCGCCTAATAGAAAAAAAATTAAAAAATGGGACTGACGCCAGGCTGACATCAGCCCTGCGTTAGGTCCACCTTGGGCTCGCGGGTTGACGATTCCTCACAGGCTTGTTGCTTGGGCCTGCCTAGTCCCTCGGGCTCCCCACGCTGGAGGGCTTCAGCCAGGCTATCATGCCCTGTTTGGTCCACTGTCCCTCGAGCAATCCATAACGGTGGACTTGCTCTTAAGTGACATTCTTAAGAATGGATGGCAAGAATAATGAAGGCCAACCACATGCGCCTTATCACTTCTCATATCGATTTAAACGTAAGATTCATCTGTTGGAAAACTAGGAGTATATAATATTAACAAGTTTCCTAGATTACTAGCAGAGGTTAACATAATACCTGAGGCAACCATGTTTTTGGTTGAAAAATGCATTTCTTCTACTTGTTTAAGACCTTATGTTCCAAAGGTGATAGAACCCTCGAATCTCAGAACAACTCTTCACAAGTAGGGAATTGGATTATATATACACATGCTTCATCTAACTTCCATCTATCGTGGAAATCAGTTACCTGCAGTTGCCGGCAGTTTTCACCGAGTAATGGATAAGCAGTTATCAATTGCTGCATGTTATCCACATATCCTTGCTTATAGGAAGCAGTTTTTCCACGTGTGTAACTTACATCAGATTGTATTGTTACCAAATACATTTCATCCTTCACTGAATGATAGTTTAGTCCAATTAAGTTTCTAATAATCTCCCACTTGGACGTAAACAAATCATTTAATCGAAATGTTATCACAATTACAATATTGACTCCTTAGTGATCACATCCAGTTACACGTAACTTGCTTCCCCACATCTACCAGTATTAGTTCAAATGTCGAACTCTAGAAAACCATGTGTAGCTCATTGGCACATGCATTCTAAAATCACTGTCATTTGAATATAATCCGTATGATGTCAAACTTTCAATGAACTTAACATTCATTTTTCTATAAATCAATTCAATCAACTTTATGGATCATCTTTGGACAATCACAGTTCCTTTACTGAATTGAAAATCATATACCACTTTGTGTTATATAAGCTATATAACTCAAAATAATCATAAAGATTCAGCACATGCATATTTATTACTGCAACTCAGTCTTAAACCATCACTTCATAATTGTAATGGCATACTGACAGTCATGCAAATACATATAAATACACATTCATACATGTAATTACCCAGTGTACCTTTATAAAGCTAACTTTATGTTGCCTTCAACCTTAATCACTGGATATTAGCTTTTCAAGCTTCCGGCATACTCATACGAAACCAACATGCGCTTTGGAACATAAGTCAGTTGTACTAATATATATTATAAACTGAATCAACATGGCATTATTTACAATAACCATAAGGAAAATAAGATAAGCCAACCATCATAATAGGGAAAATAAGATAAGCCAAGCATCAGGTCCAGATGCTATCAAAATTACGTAGTAACGCTTTCTTTACTCCCACATTTCAGTTGATTCAAAACCATCATGCACACTTGCAACATGGGCATCCTTATCATGCACTCCCACATTTCAATAGCCGTAAAAATGTTATACCCTAAAAGATCGCAAACCATTCATACATTTCTCTCTTTGGAAAAGAATATTGACATGTGTTGAGTTTTAAATTCATAATTTACACAATCCAATTCCAGAAGTCTTTTCACTTCAGTGAAAAACATATGTACACAAGTTGATACTACAAGGTTATACTTTATACATATATTTGTGTCTTTGCATTGGTTCATCTCAAGCTTAGCAATGTAAGACAACTCATTCCTTATTTAAACACACAATATGTCAATTTTGCTTCATGTTTGCAGAACTCGAGATTTTTAATCCATATTGATTATTTCCCACAGCAACCAATAACGTGGCTATTCAATTCAGTTAATATATATTTACTATACATTATCATAGAGCACAGCAGGCTAAGAAATTGATTTACATGAATTTACTTTACCCATTCAAATGGAAATCAAAGGCAACAGACTTACCCATGTAAGAGTTATGTCAGGCATCAATCACATATAGAAATAACATGTATGATTCTTATTCCCATAGATGAATCAATACATACACTGCCAACCGATATCAAGTATTTCTATTATTCCTTTCAGTTACTCACACACATACAATTTTTGAGCAATTGATAACTTGATAACAAGAAAACTAAGGGGTTTTGGATCAGATTAAACCAAAATAGTGATAGGTTGATTTCATCAAAATTCAGATGCCAATCAAATTAAATCACTAATAAATACATCAAAATTTAGTGATACTCACAATCTGGTGTGCTTGGGTGTACGCAACCTCTACACCCATCAAGAAGAGCCCTTGTCTTTCCTTTTCTTGCAGTGAATAAAATTTTGACTGAGGAAAACATGAAAAACTTGAAACAACCATTAGTGATTGTTAAATGCATGTTTATATCACACCTTTGGGCAAGGGATAAAAACTACCATTGACCTTCATTGTATAGCCATCATTCAAGAATCTTATCATGCATTTATTACAAGTCTTTGGACAAGAATATGGCATGATCTACATGATACCATACACTGATTAAAACTACCAACAATTTATACATCCCCTTCTTTGGAAAAGAATGTGAACATTTCATGAGTTTTAAACGGCAAATACTCTACCTTTACTGTAACAGAACAATGTTCTTAATTGTTCTTAATATTTTACTGCAAACCAAGCTGTTAGTATAGGAGTAGAAAAAATAGAACCGAATTGTGAATGAGATCGAACCAGATTAACGTAGTGAACAAGCAAACATATGCAAGTGTGAGTTCATCTTCACACAGGTATCTCCAACTGCTTAAATGATCTTCGATCGTATCCAGTGTGTCGACCGACTTGTTCACCGCTGTATAGTTTTCTTGTTGAGAAATTGGGGTAGATTATGCTATTCCACTTCTCAATCTTATGCTTCAATGGTGTTGGCGAAAGATCCAAACCCGGATTACGAACCAACTCATTGAGTCCGGAGTTGAACAATTGGATTATATGGAAGCTTTCATTGCAGGCTACTTCATTCACATTGGCACTGTGGACCTCCCGTTGTACCCTCGAGCCCGGGATAATGGTATTTCTCATAGAATCCAAAGTGATGTAGTTATTAACAAATGAGAAACCAGGAATAACCAAAATAGTTGAGTACCATGTTATCGCTGTCATGCAATTTAACAATATAATGGATCTAGGGCCTGTTAAGTTGGGTTTTTGCCACTTTTCATGCTTCAATCTTTGCTCAGCAATCGAAGTGTCAACCAGCAATGCGTTCATCCTCTCTCAATGCTAAATCGAGATCCATTAGGCCCAGCAAAATTTCAATGTCTTGTTTCCACCTTTTGAAGTTTCCTCCATTGAGAGGCTCGATTGATGAAAGGCTAAGTGCAGATGATGTTGCTGAGGCAACCAAATAAAACATTAAATACAATTTTAATTTCATGCATCACTTTCACCTGTTTATATATCCCCTTTAGGTTAGAAATATAAACACCCCTTCAAAGTCATCATGTACATTCTGACCACTTCAATCATCTTTTATCACAGATATATCAAGTCTTTGGACAAGATAATTACAAGATTATACAAGGAATGATTCATTGAAACCTTACGCATTTTATATATTCTTTCCTTTGGAAAAGAGTATGAACATGCAATGAATCTTTAAACCCTTCTTTGCCAGAATATACATCCAAATCATTCACTTTGGTGAATTCAAAATATTATCATAAGTGCTGCATGACATTAAAAAACTTCTGAGGCAAGACTACCTCATGCATTTTATTGAAAGTATTGGTGCTGTCATGTGTTGTCGGATGGAATAATGGAAAGCATTAGTGCTGCCGCCGATGCTGTCATGTGCTTTGGTTCAACACATTTCATAAAAAAAATTCACATGCTGAAAACATATGCAGTTCAACACATACATTCGAATCTAGGATCTGTTAATTTGACTCTGATACCAAATGTTGGAAAACTAGGAGTATATAATATTAACAAGTTTCCTAGATTACTAAACATAATACCTGAGGCATCCATGTTTTTGGTTGAAAAATGCAATTCTTCTACTTGTTTAATACCTTATGTTCCAAAGGTGATAGAACCCTCGAATCTCAGAACAACTCTTCACAAGTAGGGAATTGGATTATATATACACAGGCTTCATCTAACTTCCATCTATCGTGGAAATCAGTTACCTGCAGTTGCCGGCAGTTTTCACCGAGTAATGGATAAGCAGTTATCAATTGTTGCATGTTATCCACATATCCTTGCTTATAGGAAGCAGTTTTTCCACGTGTGCAACTTACATCAGATTGTATTGTTACCAAATACATTTCATCCTTCACTGAATGATAGTTTAATCCAATTAAGTTTCTAACATCATAGTCTCTCTCAACAGAGAGAGAGAGAGAGAGAGAGAGAGAAAGAGAGAGAGAGAGAGAAATCGATCAAATGGACATTTTAAGTTGCATACTATTAGGGTTACTGGTTGCAGCGATCTCAATTTGCCCCCTCTATTATTCACTCGGAAGAAGATCATCAAATACCACAAGGCTTCCACCTGGACCAAACCCACTTCCCTTCATAGGCAATCTCTTAGAGCTTGGCAATAAACCCCATCTCTCTCTCACCAAGCTTTCACAACGCTATGGCCCAATTATGTCTTTGCAACTCGGCCAAATAACAACCGTGGTAATTTCTTCATCAACTGTCGCCAAAGAAGTCCTCCGAACCCATGACCAACTCTTCTGCAACCGAACCGTCCCAGATGCGCTCCAAGCCTGTAAACATTCCAAGTACAGCATGGCGTGGATACCGGTTTCAGCTACATGGAGAAACCTTCGCAAAACATGTAACTCGCAATTGTTCACCACCAAAATTCTTGACGCCAACCAAGCCAACCGTCACCTGAAAGTGCAAGAGCTCACATCCGACGTCAATGAAAGCGCTGTAAAAGGTGATGCGATTGATCGGAAGGGCTGCTTTCAAAACTTCGCTCAATCTTCTTTCGCGTACCGTCTTCTCTGTGGACTTAGCGGACACAGATAGTGCGAGGGCGAGGGAGTTCAAGGAGTTGGTGTGGAGTATTATGGAAGAGGCTGGCAAACCAAACTTGGCTGACTATTTTCCCGTGCTTAAGAAGATTGATCCAATACGACGCCGTATGAGCAATAGCTTCCGGAAGATGTTTGACCTCTTTGACCGATTGATGATGCAGCGGTTTGAATCAAGGAAAAAGCTTGATTATATCATGACTAATGATATGTTAGATACCTTAATAAATATTAGTGAAGAGAAAAATGAGAATATGGACGTGGATGAAACTCTACATCTGTTCCTGGTTAGTTGCTACTACATATTTACTCTCTAATTTTGTTGCTCTCGATTAATCTCGAATAGCTTGCGTATATACTTACTGCTTGCTTAGAGGTTATATCGATGACTAGGGTCGCTTGTGTGGGTTTATTACAGGATCTATTCTGCGGGAACAGATACAACGTCATCCACATTGGAATGGGCAATGGCTGAGCTACTCCGCAACCCGGAAAAATTGTCCAAAGCTCAAGCGGAGCTGAAGCAGATCATCGGAAAAGGAAAACCGGTTGGGGAATCCGACACAGCTAAACTCCCTTACTTACAAGCAATAATCAAAGAGACCTTCCGGTTGCACCCAGCGGTGCCCGAAAAGCTGATGCAGACGTAGAAATCTGCGGGTACACTGTACCAAAGGGTGCACAAGTGTTTGTCAATGCATGGGCCATCGGCAGAGAGCCCTGCATTTGGGATAACCCTGACTCATTCATCCCAGAGAGGTTTTTGGGATCGGAAATTGATTTTACTGGCAAGAACTTTGAGCTTATTCCGTTTGGTGGTGGGAGAAGAATATGTCCTGGCTTGCCATTGGCAGTGGGAATGGTGAACTTAATGTTGGGTTCACTTATTAACTGCTTTGACAACTGGAAGCTTGAAGACGGAATTACACCGGAGACTATGGACATGGATGAGAAGTTTGGTATCACCTTACAAAAAGCTCAGCCCCTAAGAGCTGTGCCCATGTTATAGAAGAGCCCATGCTCAATATATGTACTTCAAGTTTCTACCATATGATATTTAGAATATATAGGACTAGGTTTGCCGAGTCTAGGCCTAGAGCTCTGACTGGAGTTTAAGAGCTAGTTTGTTATTACTTAGTTTAAAAAAAAAAAATATTACTTATATTGTGTTGTGAGAATAAACACTTATAAATAAAGCAGTTTAGTATTTGATTTTTTTTTTTTTTTTTTGTAAAAATGTTTTTAACAACAAAAGATAAACTTTTATGTAAAATTGTTGTGATTATATTAATGGAAATAGTTTGGACTAAGTTTATTTTAACCAAAATTCATTTAATAATTTTATTTAATGTAAAAGACAGTACATAAAAAAACTAAAACCTCATGAATAGGAAACAAACCCACATACAAAACAAAAAAAAATATATATATATATATATATATTTTTTTTTTTACCTAATAGAACTATACCACGTTCCAGTTCCCAAGTAGCACTAGCACTCTCCAAAATCCAATTCCCATCAATTTTCTGCAGTCAATTTTGCCTCCAGTCCGCTTTCTATTTACAGGTGATAATCGAGAAGATGTGGAAGTATCTATATATATATCTATATACATAAAGGGAGAGCCCCAGTTTGGTGAAGCATTTGATAAACCCAATATTGCCCTTTGTTTCCTTCACAATAAAAAACCACAAAAGTTTAAAAAATGAGGACAAATTCGTAAACAACCATTACTGAATAGAAAACAAATAAAAAAAAATCTATAAATGGACGTGCTTAACAGTTAACCCTCATAAACTGCTAAGCAGTAGTGGGCAGTTAAAAAACACAAATTAAAAAAAAAAAAAAAAAACTATCTTTACCATATATGTAACAAAGAAGGTTACAGTAGAAAGAAAATATAAATAAATAAATAAAAAACAAAATTAAAAAAGTATTGGAAAAGAAAACGGAAAATTGAAAAAAAGAAGAAAAACAAGTTGATATGCTTAAGCCTCTCAACTGCTAAGCGGTAGTGGACAGTTTTCTCCCCCATAGAATTCCATGATCTGAGTTAGGAGGTTCAACACTAAAGAAAGAAACTGTATTTGAAGTAGTTGTCGTAGTAGTCTCCCATTCCAATTTCACGATCCCTTGCGCTCTAACATCTCCCGTTCCCTTGCACTCACCCAGTTTCTATGTATGGGTCTTACTTTTCCATACAAAAACGGAATCATTGCCTTTATCTCTAGGTAAAACATAACACCAAAATGGTCAATCTCTCTAGAGAAACGATCCCTTCATTAAAGAGGTTCTGATTACGGCCGCCCACGTCACCTTCTACGAATTCAACATCGAGAACAATCAATGGGTTCTTTTCTTGAATCGTAACTTCCACTTCTCCGTTTGGTTGCCCAGAAAACTATAAGAAATTCAAGGGTTTTTAAAATTAATCCAAATTAATTTTATCTTTTTTAATTAATTATGTTTTGGATTTTTGGATTTTTTGAACTTTACAGTTGTTTTGCAGCACATCAACGACGACAGAAACATGTAGAGAAGGAGATAATGAGAAAGAGAGAGACAAAGACGAAATTAAAATGGGGTCGAGAGCGAGAGTAGCCGGGGCATTATCAAACCTCATTTGGACCCTCTGGAAAGAAGACCACCTGAAACACGCAATCCAATAGTCACTCCCATCTCTCAGACATGCCTTCTCTCATTATGATCAGATCAATCTCATCGACAACGTCCTTGACCACCAGCTTCGCTTTCAGCGGTACCTGCCTACTCCTTAATTAATTTTTTATTAATTTCACTTTAAGCAATAATTATTACAATTCTTCCATTTTTGCAGGTAAAGGTACAGAGAATGGTGTGGACTATAAAGGAAGCTTACTTTGTGTTGGAAATATGTTAATGTCTTGGGCTGCCATCTAAATCTCTGATATCTCTTGACAGGTATTTGCTTTGCATTTTTTTCTCCTTTCATTTTTTCAAATGTACACACGAAAACTTTGGGATGTCAATGATAACATGTCTGTATAATTGTACCAACACAATGTACCACTATGTTATTTCGATGCATTTTCTACAAATTTAGGATTTAGATAGAGTAATGATTGAGATAAGGGTAGGATGTTGTTGATATGAACTCAATCCACTTCTTGGCTTCTGTTTGGGCCCGAAATAATATTGTTGTGCCGAGCATAGGGTTGTGCTCGGCCCAAAGCTGTGTCAAATACTATGGGCTGCATGATGGATTCGGGTCATTTAGCAGGGTCGGTCGAGTCCTATCATAAGAAGGAGTAGTCCAGATAAATAAAGAGGGTCGAGGAAGTCCTGGTGCAACTAGGATTCTCGGCCAGCGAGGAATAAAGCCTCGAAGGGGGGTAAGTTCAAAGTCCTAATGGGAGTAGGGTTGTTCGAAGTACAGTTGGAACGGGGCAAGGACTCCCAATCCAGATAGGGGTTTGATTCGGTCTTAAGGAGTGGGTGCTATAAATACAAGAAATCATGCAACAAAGAAGGACCTTCAATTCAACATACAATTGCCCTGCGCAAAACCTCTCAAACACCTTGAGATTTTTCCTTTTCTTTTTCTGCCAACACACCTTCAATTTGGATAAACAACACTGTGAAGGCGACTGGTGAACATCTTCAGTTTGGATAAACAGCACTATTGCCGTAGAATCAGCCGACCGAGGAGCATTTTCAGTTTGGATAAACAGCACTACGTCGAGACCGACTAGTTACCTATCCAAGTCTCGGTCGAGGAGGGTTTTCGAATCCTTATTGGCAGGGGTCATCTTATCAGCCTTCTCGGCGAAGTAAGGTGTCACGAGTTACGACATTCGGCGTATCGGACGTCGAGTGGTTTTATGATTGGGTATTCACAGGTAAGTTTCAGAGTTCGGCATTCTGACGGCCGAACCACGTTCACCATCAAGACATACATCACCTTTGAATATTTGTGTCCGTATAGTCTAGTGTTGATTCGACGTGCTTATACTCTTACGAACATAATCACGGTGACCGAATCAGGCACTGACGATTTGTGAACTTCGCAGAACTAGCAGCCTCGTCTTCAGGCTCTAGAACCCAAAGACCGAGAGTGTTCCTTCCTCGGTCGCAGTCGCAAGATTAAGAAGTCAGCAACGCGCTCAACGCGACAACAACGAATTTTACTCCTTAGCCGAGCTCGGCCGACGAGTTGGCACGCCCCGCATTCAACCGAAGGACTTAGTTAGCCTATTAGTTACTCGACCTGCGCGCCACGTAGGCTTTGTAATTTTTAAGGACAACAGCTTCGTAACGTGGATGTTGAATGCATGCACTTATTTAATTTTATATGCAAACAAAATCAAACCTTTTATTAGCTTTTGTTTGTTTTGCTTGCTTCTGTTTTCAAATTTATTTTAATATAATTTTTGTTTTGGGATTAATGACATGCTTAAAGTTTAGTAGATTTGGATTAAATTTTGGTTGAACAGATTGTGTAGTTGCGAATCTTGATCTAATGGACAAGATTGTATAAAGAACTCGTGGATTTATCTCATCTAAAATTATTTATATTTTTAGGATTTAAAATTGTTTTATGATGCCAAGTTTGGTACAAAGAAAACACCGGAGTTGCAGTAGAATGAGCAGTCCACTGATGGAGCTGTGATAATGGGAGTAGTAATTCCCATGTGACAGCAAATGGGAATATGTGAAGAGAAAACTGACTTGGTCATCTATGAGCAATTTCAAAAGCAGGTTGTGGATTTGATCTTATCATATGCTGCATCGCATTTGACTCATTGCATGGACTTTGTAGGGTTGGATTCATTTTTTCTTCAATTTTGTCTGTTTTTTAGGGTAAGAGCTTGGCAACTCACTCAAATGGAGTCTTATCTGATCGGCATGAGGAGATACTGTATGATTTTGTTTTCATTACATTTTTACGACATTTTTACGTGTGACGTATTAAATTTTATTGAATAATGCTTCTTTAAGAACTGACATTTTTTTGTGAACTTCCCAGCCAAAAGTCCCTTTTACCTACTTTTGAATCGGCAGAAATGCGTACGCTAGGGGAGAGTTTATGCATGTGATTATACATGAATGACTTCACACGATGTAAATACAAGTTACTGTTACTCCATATATTTTTTCCTCATGATACCGTTTCTTTTATCAGATAAATTATTGTGTTCTTTTTTATTGGTTTGTGTAGGAATACCAAAAATTTAAAGCGGACTTTAACAAATCAGGTTTTATGGAAATGATAGGAGAAATATATTAGAGGTTGTCACCTACCTGCATTACAACTCTTCATTGATTTGAAATTTCAGAGTTTTTCTATTCAACCTTTCAATTTTTATTTTGTTTATATTAATATGATTCATTTGTCTTCACAAAAACAAGACAAAATTGTTCAATGTGAACTTTTCTCCAACAATTTCTCCATTTTCAAATACTGTCTACTATGCATTACTCATCTTTCTGGAATATGAGTCATTTACATCTTGCATTCCTATATGCAATTTTTCATTTCTTCTTTTTAAACTCTTTAAGAATGAGTTTGTTGAGATTAATAGTTTTCACTCCAACAGAGATACCCCAACCGGGTGAAAAAATAGAAATACGTCTGCTAAGTGGGTCATTTATAGGTGATGCCACCTTCACTTTTTGTTGCATTTCTTATGGAGTTCCTCAACCGACGTTTCATGAAGAAAAAAAAAAAAATGATGTAAAGGTCCTCGCACGCACAATTCACAAATTACAATGTGATGTAAACAATTTCTTACTAAATAACAATGTTAATGAAAAAAGCATTTTGCACTCGCATGATGTAAAGGTCCTCACATGCATATTCAAATTAAAGGGGCACGTAGCGCCCGTGATTAAAAAGAAGGCCTCTCGCATGATGCGCATGCGGAGAGGCTAGTGTTTTATAAAACTTCCATTTTAGAGTAGAAGGGATATAACTAGCTCTTCATATATGATCGTGATACAAATTCTAAAAGAACCCGAAATTATGATGCGTTATGGCACTACAATCATTCATCTTTAAAGTACACATACTAAATCATTATTTCTAGAATCGAACCGTGCCTATTTTTTAAACTGAACCGTGTTCATATCTTAAACTGAATGCTGGTACAATCACTATTGTAGTTCTATAAAAAGTGTGGGTTATTTTGGTTCAGTTTCAGAAATATTGTTGGTTGTTTTGCTGTAATTTCAAAAATAAAGTTTGCTTTGTTCTCTTTCAGAAGTAATGTGAGTTATTTTGCTATAGTTCCAGAAATAATGTAAGTTATTTTGCAGTAATTCCAAAAATGTTTGCGTCACTTTGCAGTAGTTCTAGAAATAATGTGTGTTATTTTGGTTTAGTTTTATAAATATTGTGTTATTTTGTTGTAGTTCTAAAAATAATGTTTATTTGATTTGTTTCCTTTCAAAAATAATGTTTATTTTATTCATTTTCAGAAATAGTTCTTTTTAATATTTTTAGAAAATATAAAATGAGTATAAAAGCAATGAAAACATGTAATTTGATAAGTGGACTCACTCCTAAAAACAATCTATGTTATTGGACTTAGATCTAAAAACCCCTACAACAGAGTGGAAATGTCCTCGAGCTATCACTATTCACTAAGACAATAGTTACTAATTACTTAATAGCCCGTACAATTATCGTCAAAGGTGGAGTTGCTCTTAATAATCTAGCCCTACAACACCAACTGGAGTTTAAAGCCTAGTCCACAAAAGCGATTCTTACAAGTAATGAACTGTTCTTCGTCAACGAATGTATCAGTGGGTAGAGTTTTGCATATTGCACGCTAAATTCATTGAATCAAAGATAATTTAAAATATATCCTCTTTATCATAACAAAACAAAGCAACACTCATTTTTTCACAATAATCGCTTTTCAATGTCTTCAAAATACTAAAGAGATCGTATCAGTTTATTTACTTGATGTGGCTATGAAAGAAATAGTATAACAAGTTGACTTCCCAAGCTATATCTTGAAGGATATATAGAAATGAGTTTTAACGAAAAACTTTCGGTTTTCAAGCCATTTTCATTAGTTTTCCCAGTACTTTTCATTTTAACAAAAAACCATATTTTTACTCTAAAAAGTCAATTATGGTACTATTCACTTACTGTCATTTTCGTTAAAACTCAAGATTTTCAAGCCATTTTCATTAGTTTTCTTTATAACAAATGTTGTTGAGAAGGCAAGATGTGCTTTCACGGATAGTCTTAGGCGTGTTGAAGACATCGTTCCACAATCTATTGGTTGTCAGGTAATTATTCTTTAAGGCCCTTTTGCCGTTTCTTTTCCTGGTTGGTGGTAATTGCATTTGAAGTTTTTGAATTAACTTGTGATGCTAGCATTCCGTGGTCATGATGCTCTGTGTACATCACTTAAATGTGTTCTAAACACAGTATATTGTTGATCTTGTTTCAGATTGAAGAGATTGTTAGTGAACTTGAGGGTACTGTGCTCTCACTTGATCCCTTAGAGAAGAAAGTTGGCGATGAAATAATTGCACTACTCCAGCAAGGGAAAAAGTTCGACAATTGTAATGACAATAATGAGCTGGAATCTTTTCATCAGGCTGCTATCAAACTTGGTATTACCTCTTCCAGGGCAGCTCTTACTGAGAGAAGAGCTTTAAAGAAAGTCATCCAAAGAGCCCGTGCTGAGGAAGATAAGCGGAAAGAATCAATTGTGGCTTATTTATTACACCTTATGCGAAAATACTCCAAGCTGTTCAGAAGTGAAATCTCAGATGACAATGATTCACAAGGTTCTGCTCCTTGTTCTCCCACTATTCAGGGTTCTTTTAATTGCTAGTTGGTGTGAACAGAATAGAATTAGTGTTCCTGATGGTCCCCCAGAGTCTCTTGACCTCAACTATTGGAGGCTTGCATTTGAGTCGGAGTCCACTGATTCAAAATCTATGGGTAGTGTTGGCTCTTGCAAGGTGAAGGGTGTCAAGGTGGTTCCTTTAGAGGAGAGCCATACTATAAAGGGGGACGTTGGAAATGAAACAAAGATGTGTCTCCATTAGAGGAAGAGTCTGAGCTTGATGTTTTCGAAAGTTATCAGGATCTTTTAACCACCTTGAATGAAGAGGAAGACTTCAGGAAGAGGTGCGAGGTAGTGGAGCAAATAAGGCTCTTGCTGAAGGAGGATGAGGAGGCCAGGATGTATATGGGTGCTAATGGATTTGTTGAAGCACTTCTACATTTTCTGAGCTCAGCTTTGCGTGAAGCGGGTTGTTTGGCTCAGGAAAGTGGAGCCATGGCTCTCTTCAATCTTGCTGTCAACAATAACAGGTATAGTTGTTTAATAATTTTAAAAGAATCGAATGCAATAACTAGTTTATTTGACAATATTTTGATTCATTTTGTACTGAAAACTTCAGAGGTCTATTAAGCATCAAAATGCGGAATCTTCAATAATAAAAAAAGCATCTGGGAGAGGGTGAAGTGTATAAATAATTGTCTACAATGTGTTGATATTTCCTTGCGTCATGGGTGTAGAGAATGATGCATTGGCTTTCATGATTTGTTTTTAATTATTAGATGTTGATTCTCCGTTTATCACTTGGAATGTATTGAATGGTCTGTATCTATGCCGTGCAGTATTTTGAGTAACATGTCAGAGTTTTTGGTTCTGTTCTATGCTTCTCTAAACCTTGGATACTTGAGAATAGTTTTAATTTCGTTGATTTTTTTTTCCAGAAACAAGGAAGCAATGTTAGCATCACGGGTAATTTCGTTGCTGGAGGAAATAATTCCGTGGTCATGATGCTTTGTGTACATCACCTTACAGATGTCTCAGCCTCTAAAAGTCGTTGTCAACTGATTGAAGATTTTGTAGTTTCTATAATTAATCAACATTTTGTTAAAGTGTATTAAAATGAGATTTTGTAGTATCTATAACTGATTGGAGATTGATATTATGGAAACATTGTATTAAAATGAGATGTTTTGTATATGTAGTGGGATAACATGTCCCACATTTTTTTGGTTTTTTTGGTGAACTAATATGTCCCACGTTGGAGAAGAGTAAGAGGAGGCAGGTTGAAGTGAGGATATATAATTGAGAGGTGTGGAATAATGGAACATGCTTATCTTGATGGTGTCTGTGGGCGATTAGAAAAGGTTAGTGACCTCCATTGCCCTTTGGGAGGGGTGCTCACCTAAGGTCAGCCCCAGTGGTAGAACCTACGTAATAATTTGTTCCTGTGAGGGCTTGCGCGCGCGCGCGGCCCTTGTCTAAATAATAATTATCCAATTTTGAAAATAAATAAATAAATAATAATTTGAAAATTTCATTTTTTCCAAACTGTCTTCATACCATCAAGATTAAGTTCTGCACCAAATGTTTAAACCCAACGAAAACAATTTGAGTACTGATATATGTAAATTGATCGAATGTGAGATGTCAAATAAATTGAGTGGTGCACCAAATGTTTAAACCAATGAAATATGCAAATTGATTGAATATCCTAATGATGTTAAACATTACATTGTAATGTGAGAAACTTTCCAAATGTTTAACCCAACGAAAGATTTAAATTGACCGAATACCCTAATAATGTTAAAGCATTGGATTGTAATGTGAGAAAATTGACATATCTTCAGTTCTTCTCGTCTCATTTGTTTTTCTTTTATAAAAAAAAGTCATTAATTTTTTGGCACGGATAGAAGTCTCTCTCATTTCACAGTTAAAATAAACGTAGATTGAAGTTGGAATTTTAATTTTTGTGTCCATAAAAAAGTATTTTGCTAGTCTTTACCTATATAAGTGAAATAGTGGTTAGTGGATGTGCAACGAAGATAAGAATTAGAAGTAAACTGAACTCCTAAACCTCGTTTAATACTTTTACCTTTCCTTTCGTTTAATACTTATATAGAGAATGAATTTCATATGATAGGCGGAGGGATTTTGCATGGAGTTACTAGTAAGTTAGGCTACTTTCTATATCGCTAATTGTTTTTATGGTGAAACTTCAACCTTCTTCATAGTATCGTAGCCGGTTGTTCCATGTGTGAAAGCCTATGGCCACATGTGTTTCACGTCATCCCGTTGTTTCATCCAAGTGTTAGGCTTGAAAAGTCGCTACACGTAAGAAAAATGTTGAGAATAAATCCCACATTAATAGGAGGAGAAACCTTGTACGAGTTTATAAGTAAGTTGAATTACTTCTCATGTATTATTATTGAATTCACAGTGAAATCTCAACTTTCTTTAATTGGGATAAACAATCTTAAGAGCACTTCTCACTCTCACTAATCTTAAGAGCACTTTCTTTAATCGGGATGAAATCCAAATCCTCTATTATTCACTTTGAAGAAGATCATCAAATACCAAAAGGCTTCCACCTGGACCAAACCGACTTTCCTTCATCGGCAATCTCTAGAGCTTGGCAAAAACCCATCTCACTCTCACTATAAGCTTTCACAACGCTATGGCCCCATTAAGTTTTTGCAACTCGGCCGAATAACAACCGTGGTAATTTCTTTGTCAACCGTCGCCAAAGATGTCCTCCGAACCCATGACCAACTCTTTTGCAACCGTAGCGCGGCCCTTGGCCAAATAATAATTCAAAAGTTTTACTTTCTGTTAGGTTTTTTGAATAAAAATTTGAAAATTTTGACAAGATAGTAATAATAATTCCAAAATTTCTAAGGGCCCTCTTATTATCCTATTCAAAGCTTTTTTTTTTGTTATCATTTTCAAAATATTATTTAAAACTATTTTGTTGTAGTTCTAGAAATAATGTAGGTTATTTTGCAGTAATTCCAAAAATGTTTGCGTCACTTTGCAGTAGTTCTCGAAATAATGTGTTATTCTAGTTCAGTTTAAAAAATAATGTGTTATTTAGATGTAGTTCTAGAAATAATGTTTATTTAATTTGTTTCCTTTCAAAAATAATATTTATTTTATTTCCTTTCAAAAATAGTTCTTTTTAATATTTTTAGAAAATATAAAATGAGTATATATGAAAACATGTAATTTGATAAATAGACTCACTTCTTAAAACAATCTATATTTTGAATCTAAAAATCCCTACAACGGAGTGCAAATGTCCTCGAGCAATCATTATTCACGAAGACAATAGTTACTAATTGCTTAATACCACTTACAATTAGTGGAGTTGGTTTTAAGAATCTAGCCCTAGAACACCAACTGGAGTTTAAAGCCTAGTTCACAAAAGCGATTCTTACAAGTAATGAACTGCTCTTTTTCAACAAACGTATCAAGTGAAATTCAAGATACATCCTCTTTATAATAACAAAACAAAACAACATTCCTAGTTCTCCGAAAAAAAACAAAAAACAAAACAACATTCCTCTGTTCACAATAATTGCTTTTTAATGTCTTCAAAATACTAGAGAGATCGTATGGCTTTATTTACTTGATGAGTACAAGTTGACTTCCCAATCTATATCTTGAAGGCTGTATGCAAGTAGATGGAGCTATTACACCCGTGCATGCGTGTGCGATGACGAAATAACGTAGGCCCTTAATTGCATGACGGGGCAGATACGTTGGTTCGTAGTGCACCCACTCCTAGGTTATTATATAGGATGAGGATCCTCCATCGATCCCTTTTGTGGGGATTTTAGGGATCCTCTCATCACGATCATTCATCGTACATCGTGCGATCAATTTTTATTATATACTATTTATGTCTAATTTTAAACAATAAAATTTAAATAATTCATAACCGTACGATATACGATAAACGATTAAGATGTGGGAATCCTAAGGATCCCTAGGATCCCCACAAATTGGATCCGGACGGCATCCAAATCCAATTATATAGGGTGTATTCCTGATAGACTAAAAAATGAGGAAAAACTTTTCAAAGTGTCTGGCTCAGTACACAAAGTGTTCTTATATAAATGGTTAATTTTTTTTCAATATCTAATTACTTATATTATGCCATTTGGTGTATCAAACTGCATTTTTGGAAAACTAAATTTTTATTTTTTTTTGCATGCAAGAAATGCACAAACCTATCTTCATCGTACAAATTTTGAAATCGAAATATCTAAAACTGTTTATTTCTCTATTTTTATTTGAAAATTATTCTCACAAAAAATCAATTGAGTCGAAGATTTTATGCTTCCAAATGTGTAGAACAAAAGGTAGTGTTATTCACACACTTCTTATTATCTCTTACAAATCATTGTTAATTATTGTTAATTTTTGTTCATTGATCTTCTTCAATTCATTTAATCTGGCTGTCATAAATTAATAGGAACTTGTGGAGATAAAGACGAGTGTGTAGATAGCACGCTATCTTAAAATAAATTGACGGTGTGAATACTAACTAGTAACTACTAAGATATTTACAAGAAAAGTCTATTATTTGATATATAAGGAAACGATTTTATTTATTTATTTATTATTTTATTATTTATAGAAATGATCTTTTCAAATAAAGATCAAGAAATTGAAGGATTAACATAATGAAATTTATATAATAAGGCCATATCATACACTAAGGATGTTATCCGAGGATATATATTGATTTTCCCCAACAATCATGCCAAAGATAAAGGCTTAGGAGAAGAAAGAAAGAGTAAGATCAGATGGACTTGTTGAGTTGCATGCTATTATCTCTTATGGTCGTCTGGATCTCAGTCCATGCTATCTATTATTCATTTGCAGGAAGAAAGATTCCCACTAGGCTTCCACCTGGACCAAAACCATTTCCCTTCATTGGAAATCTCTTGGAACTTGGGAACGAGCCCCATCTCTCTCTCACTAACCTTTCACAACGCTATGGTCCCATTTTCACATTACATCTCGGACAAGTAACCACGGTTGTAGTTTCCTCGTCGACCGTGGCTAAAGAGGTCCTCCGAACCCATGACCACTTCTTTTGCAACCGAACCATCCCCGATGCAGTCCAAGCCCGTGACCACGCCAAGTACGGCATGCCTTGGCTACCCGTTTCAGACGCGTGGAGAAACCTCCGCAAAATATGCAACTCGCAACTGTTCGCCAACAAAGTTCTTGACGCCAACCAAACTAACCGTCACGCAAAAGTGCAGGAGCTCATATCCGAGGTCAATGAAGGCGTTGTGAAAGGCAACACTGTTGATATTGGAAGGGCCGCTTTCAAAACTACGCTCAACTTGATGTCGCGTACCGTCTTCTCTGTGGACTTGGCAGACCCGAAGAGCGAGACAGCTAGAGAGTTTAAGGAGTTGGTTTGGGGTATTATGGAAGAGGCTGGGAAGCCAAACTTGGCTGACTATTTTCCTGTGCTTAAGAAGATTGATCCCATGGGGATACGGCGTCGTTTGGCCAATCACTTCCAGAAGATGATCGATCTCATTCACCGCATGATCACCCAAAGGTTGGAGTCAAGAAAATCACGAGATTATGTCATAACTAATGATATGTTGGATACACTCATAAACATCAGTGAAGAGAAGAATGAGGATATGGACATGGATGAAACTGAGCATCTGTTTCTGGTTAGTTGCCACTACTCTACTCTGTTCTACCTCCATTGTTGTCGATACCTTGTTTGAATTAGAAATAGCTTGGCAGCTGGGCTTATCTCTACGCTCGAGGTCTTAAGTTCAATTGCCCTTCTATAAAATTTTTAAAAATATGTGTTATATGTTCGTTTTTGATGGTTATATACTTGGATCATTAATTTTGTAATTGTTAGTCTTTTACTTGTTTATGATGTGTATTGTGCCATCTAAACTTACTAAGATGATAGATCAAATAATCAGTTGAGATGTTATAGGTAGATTTTGTTGTTCATTACACAGCTTCATTCAATATTCCAATCGGATACGAGTTCATATCTCGTGAATAACAATTGTTGGATAAAAAGTACTAATTACACATTTCGTCAATTAGGATCTATTTGGTGCGGCCACAGATACAACTTCATCCACATTGGAATGGGCAATGGCTGAGCTATTACGCAACCCGGAAAAACTTTCCCTAGCTCAAGCAGAGCTGAAGCAAATTATCGGCAAAGGAAAGCTAGTTGAGGAATCACAAATTGCTCAACTCCCTTACCTACAAGCCATAATCAAAGAAACCTTCAGATTACACCCAGTTGCTCCATTTCTAATTCCCCGAAAAGCCGAAGCTGACGTAGAAATCTGCGGGTACATTGTACCAAAGGGTGCACAAGTGCTGGTCAATGCATGGGCCATAGGGAGAGACCCCAATGTTTGGGACAACGCAAACTTGTTTATGCCGGGGAGGTTTTTTGGATCGGAAATTGATGTTTTAGGCCGGAACTTTGAGCTTATTCCGTTTGGTGGTGGGAGGAGAATATGCCCTGGATTGCCATTGGCAATGAGAATGTTGAACTTGATGTTGGGTTCGCTTATTAACTCGTTTGATGATTGGAAGCTGGAAGATGGTGTTACACCAAATACCTTGAACATGGATCAAAAGTTTGGTCTCACCTTACAGAAAGCTCAGCCACTAAAAGTTGTGCCAATTTTATATAAGAACCTAGCTTAATTTCTACTTTCCACTATATATTTTCTGAACCGCAAATAGAATAATATGCTTGTGATATTATTGTTCCACATCCATTTTAATAATTCTTACCGATTTGAAGATTTTCATCACTTTATTGGATGACTGTGGGTTTTGAATTTGATTGCTACCTGGCGGCTGTTGAGTTCCATATTTTACTTACTTTTTCGTCTTAGTTATATTAAGCCGCCGCTGGCTCCTCAGCATGATTGAGGACTGGTAGCTAAAAAAAAAAAAAAAAAAAAAAACTTGATTCGTGTTCTCGGTCTCCTTTTCATTTGGATATATAGGCTTCATTTTCTCCAAGCCACAACCCCAGCTTAAATTAACAGTATAACAAGTGGATTTTTTTTTTACTGAAAACAATGTGCGTGCTAATTTATTCACCAAATGATGTGTCAGTACTGGGTAACATCTAAACCTTACATTCTACGTCATTATGTGAGTAAAGCATGATAAACAAATTTGGTGTTTATAGTAGTACCCCATCCATATATACATATCCCCAGTGAAAAAGATGTTTTTGTGTCCTCTCAATTGTGGCAAAATTTACAGATTGGAAGAAGAAATTGTTGGAAAACTAGTAGTATATAATATTAACAATTTTCCTAGATTACTAACAGATATTAATATGATACCTGAGGTAGCCATAGCAAAACAAGAAAAAAGGATATCTTCTACTCGTTGAAAGACGTGATAGAACCCAATAACGCAGAACTTTTCTTTACCAGCATGGATTCCTTATATAGATTAACATTCATCAACTTCCCTCTATCATGGAAAATTGAACCCTCTATCATGGAGAGTTGGTTTTTGTCAGTTAACAGCAGTTTCATCAAATAGTGGGACGTAAGTTATCTCCACGATTGGTATCCATATTTCCTTAATAATAGGAAGCAATTCACTTATCCGAGATTAATAGAGATCTGAAAATCTCGAAAAATCATTCATAAAAGTCATGAAATACACATTTCCACGAAGTGTTTTGGTTGGAAAAGGTCCACAAACGTCTGAATAAATAATCTCCAACAACTTTAGACTTCTAGTTGGAGTTTTGTTCTTAGAAATTATTAAGTTGCCCTTAAAACACTTAATACAATTTGTTAAGTCTGAGAAGTCTAAGGTAGGTAGGATATTATCCTTGACTAAGCGATCCATTCTAATTTTCGAAATTTGTCACAATCTTCTATGCCAAAGCATAGAAGATTTTTCATTTAAAAACATTCTTTTACTCGAACCCATTGAATCAACATTAAGGCAACAAAATCATTCATCACTGAACACAACAATTGCCACAAATTATTAACCAGGAAAGAAACTCCAAGAACATCTTTTGGATTATTTTTCAAGTAAATTATGACACTCTCATTGTCTCCGTTGAAAGCTAAACCAAATTTTACAAGTTTTGAAACAGAAACTAAATTCCTTCAAAGTGAAGGTACATAGAGAACATCAACTAATTCTAAAATAAAACCACTAGATAATTCCAACTTAAGGTTGCCTACTGCTTCCACAGCTACTTTATTGCCATTGCCAACGAAAACTTGAAAAACTTCACTTCTTGTAGTTGTAACTCCTCTTGTGAAACCCTGCAATGAATTGGTGATGTGAACCGAACACTCAGTGTCAAACCACCAAGTATTTGGAGGGACTTCAACAAGATTAGTTTCAAAACAACAAAAATTTTAACTAAAATACCTTTCTTAATTTTCCAGTTCTTGAGTTTATCACATTCCCTTCTTATGTGTCCAGTATTTTTGCAAAAATAGCACCTTGTGTTGTCCATAATTCCTTATGATCATTTGGTCCTTTAGAGGAAGAAGCAGCTATAGCAGTTCCTAGAGAAGAGTGTAGTTTAGAAGCCTTACCAAAATGAAACATTGGCATATTCCCCTTGTTGGCGTGCACCAAGTTCACAGTACCAAAATTGGTGTTTATTTTGAGCCTGTCTTCCCCCGGAGTGCATATGGAAATCAGTTCATCCAGTGACCATTTTTCCTTCTGTGTGTTGTAAGTGATCTTCAGTTGATCAAAGGATTAAGGTAGGGAAGTCAATGTCATATGAACAACAAAAGCATCATCAGCTGGAACCTCCAAGTTCTTCAATTTTGTTGCAGTGTCAACAAGCTTCAGTATGTGCTCCCTTACACCTTTGCCCTCATCAAACTTCAAACTGGCCAGTGTCGTCATCAATTCACCCATTTCGACTTTCTCGGACTCTTTGAAATTTGCTCCAGTTGAATCTAGGAAATCCTTAGCTTTGTCACATGCAGCTATTCCACCTCTCACAGTCTCACTCATAGTTATTTTCATCACCATGAGCGACATCCTGTTGGCTTTTTGCCACATTTCATGCTTCAATCTTTGCTCAGCCGTCAAAGTGTCAGTCAGTGGTGCAGGTTCGTCCTTTCTCAGTGCTAAATCAAGATCCATCAGGCCTAGTAAAATCTCAATATCATGTTTCCACCTTTTTAAGTTTCCCCTATTGAGAGGCTCGATCGATGAAAGGCTCAGTGCAAATGATGTTGCTGAGGCAGCAATGTAAAACATTAAATATAGTTTTAATATCATACATCACTTAAACATGTTTAAATATAAACACCCTTTCAAAATCATGATGTACATTCTGACCATTACAATCGTCTTTTATCGCAGATATATCAAGTCTTTTGACAAGATAATTACAAGATTATACAAGGAATGATTCATTGAAACTTTACAGATTTTATATATTCTTTCCCTTGGAAAAGAGTATGAACATGCAATGAATCTTTAAACCGTTCTTTGCCAGAATATACACCATATCATTCACCGCTGCATGACATTAAAAACTTCCAAGGCAAGACTATCCCATGCATTTCATAAAAAACAGAGAATTCACATGCTTGAAAACATATGCAGTTACACATATATATTCAAATCTAGGATTTGTTAATTTGGCTCTGATACCAAATGTTGGAAAACTAGAAGTATATAATATTAACAAGTTTCCTAGATTACTAACACATATTAATATGATACCTGAGGCAACCATTGCAAAACAAGAAAAATATGATATCTTCTACTCATTGAAAGACTTAATGTTCTTAAGGTGATAGAACCCAATAACGTAGAACTTTTCTGTACGAGCAAGGAGTCCTTATATAGATTAACATTCACCCACTTCCCTCTATCATGGAGAGTTGGTTTTTGTCAGTTAACAGAAATTTCATCAAATAGTGGGACGTAAGTTATCTCCACGATTGATATCCATATTTCCTTAATAATAGGAAGCAGTTTTTTCCATGCTTGCAACTTATGTCACATTGTGTTGTTACCAATTAAATACATTTCGTCCTTCACTAAATGATAGTTTAGTCCAATTAGGTTTCTAACAGAAATGGCTTTCTTGAGTTGTGTAATACTATGTCTAATGGTGACCTGGATCATATTCCAACCCTTCCGTTACTCATCTGCAAGAAGAATGCCGACAAGGCTTCCGCCCTGGACCAAGGCCAGTATCCTTCATTGACAATCTTTTGGAGATTGGCAACAAACCGCCCCTCTCCATAACCAAGCTTTCACAATACTGGCAGACCCATAATGTACTTTAAAACTTGGCCAAATAACTGTTGAGAATGAATCCTACATTGATTAGATGAGAGACCTTACGTGTGCTGTTAAGTAATTGGGCTACTCCTCATGTTATCAATTGGTTTTATAGTGGAACTCCAACTTCTTCATGGTATGGCAAGCATGGGATACCTTGGCTACATGTTTCAGATAAATGGAGAAACCTTCGCAAAATATGCAACTCTCAGTTGTTCGCCACTAATTCTCGATGCTAGCCAAGGCAAGTAGGCAGTAAAAGTGCAAGAGCTAGTTGCTGATGTCAAAGTAAGCCTTGTAAAAGGCGAGGCGGTAGAAATTGGAAGGGTTGCTTTCAAAAACTACGCTCAATTTTCTATCACGTGCTGTCTTCTCTGTGGATTTAGTGGACTCACATAGTGAGAGGGCTAGAGAGTTCAAATAGTTAGCGTGGAGTATTTATGGAAGAGGCTGGCAAACCAAACTTGGCAGACTTCTTTCCTGTGCTTAAGAAGATTGATCCAATGAGGATAAGGCAACGTTTGACTAGTCACTTCCAGAATGTTTGAACTCTTTGACCGCTTGGTCATGCAAAGGTTTGAATCAAGAAAAAAACTTGATTATATCATACGACTAATGATATGTTAAATACCTTAATAAACATTAGTGAAGAGAAAAATTGAGGATATATATGGACGCGGATGAAACTCAACATTTGTTCCTGGTTAATTGCTGCTATATATTTTCTCTCTAATTTTGTTGCTCTCAGGATATATATGGACACAGATGAAACTCAACATTTGTTCCAGGTTAGTTGCTACTATATATTTACTCTCTAATTTTGTTGCTCTCAATTATTCTCGAATGTTGGCAGTCCTACATCGGTGGGAAAAGTCAATAAGGGTGGCTTTAATTATAATTACCATACTCTAACTAATACCAAGGTCTTTTATGGTAAAACCCCACACCTAACGGATTTGGTAGGTGGTGTGGTAAAGTTGAGGACAATATTGGTGTCGTTAGAGTGAGGCCCCCTAGGCTCGTCGATCTAAAAAAAATATCAACATGGTATCAGAGCCCACTGTTACGGGCCCGTGCATGCCAAAGGCTTGTCACTAGGAAGTGTGGGCTTGGAAACAAGCTTGGACTCTTAACATAGAGCCGGCCTCCGAGTTCTTAAGAGACACTTCCTAAAAAGATTAAAAATAAGTCTAGATTCCATTGGAGCCGGTTTGCTGAGTTTCAATTGCCGATATGTGGATCTCCACATGTGAACCACCAAATGTGGTTACACGTGAGGGGGTATATTTGCAGTCCCACATTAGTGGGGGAAGTCAACAAAGGTGGCTTTAAATATGACTACCTTACTCTAACTAATACCAAGATTTTTTGTGGTAAAACCCCATACTTGATGGATTAGACATATGGTAAAATTGGGAATAGTATTGGTGTCGTTAGAGTAGAGCCCCTGGACCCGTCGATGTAAAAAATTTCAACATTGAATAGCTAGCGTATGTACTGTGATTGTTT